AGCTGCAGCTGGTCGGCGGGGAAGCGTCTTCATAAGAAGCAATATTTCCTTTGTTTGTGTTCGCACTTTCTCAGCAGGAGGGTGTTCACCTGCTGTGAGGTAAATACACCTGGAACTGATCACATGATCAGGCCTGCAGTACTTTGATAACTGCTGTCAGAGATTTGAGTGTTTTATCACAGATTTTTCCCAAATAATGATTTGGGAAAACTCGGCTCGTCGGACACTGCTCAGTGGGACATTTTCATGTGTCACCTGTTTTAGCCTCACCTCTTCATCACAGCTCCACACCTCCAGCGTCTTCTTCTCCCTTCCCTTCCCGCTGTTGGCCGCCTCACCGTCTATCAAACCCAGGTCCTCCAGCTCAGATAGGTCGAGAGCCGGGATTGGCTGCCTCCAGAACAGGAAGGAGTCATACTGGCTGCTCGATTTCTCCATCACGTCTGAGACAAAACACACAACATCACTGATCTCAGAGCAGATTTTCACCCTCAATATCATTTAAACATCGATTAAACCAGGAGGTCAAACCCGTGAGCCTACAGAGTCCAGCCCCCACAGATGGTGCATCCAATAAGCCCCCCCCCCCGAGTGGGGGAGGATATTTATGTGGTCAGCTGAGGTTCTAAAACAGGAAGTGGAACATCTGATCTAAGCAACCCAAAAATATCCTCCATGTTATTCCTGCTCTTTTCATTCCTGGGCCTTAATCATAGACCTGGTCTTGGTCCTTGTAATGGTCCTGGTCCTGGACCTGGACCTGGTCCCGATAACCGGGTAACCCACAGCCAGCGATGAGATGAATCACCAATAACGTAATAACTTATTGATTATTGGAGCGGCCGCTGTTTGAGGCGTTGGCCGGTGCGCAGGCGCAGAACAGAGCGACAGATGTCCCTTAAATCTAAAGACTAGGAATAAAAACTAAAATAAAACATTGATCTAATTTAATAATCGAAGATTTAAACACGTGTAATCCTCACGCTGCCGTTTTTACACTAGCTGACGTCATTTTACCATCAGCTCCATCTTTCTGACGAAGAGATGAAATTCTGAGAAGAGACACAGATTTAAACTAAGCTCACCTGCGCGTGTTTACCTGCGTGTATATAGCTGCGCGTGTTTCCGGTGTGAGGACGGCCGCTCCGCTCCGCTTTCTCCTCTTTTGTTCTGCGGGTTTTGGTGATCAGCCGCTGCGCCGCTGCAGGTTGAAATGAGCTCTGCGACTGCGTCAAACTTACCTGAATGTACACCAGAACTTCCTGTCCCCGATTTCACAATAAAAGTCTAACAATGGTTTGACCTTTACTGCTTGTATAGCATCATCGTCATCTTTATTTATAAAGCACTTTAAAACAACCACATCTGAAGCCAAGTGCTGGACATTGGAACTAAGTAATAAAATTACATAAGATATAAATAAAAACAAACAAAAGTAAAATGATTTTGTTTAGTTAGCTAATAACTAAACTAATAATAATAATAATAATAATAATAATAATAATAATAATAACTAATAACTAATTTAAATACAAGAAAAACACGTTTTAAGACGTGTTTTAACAGTGGACCGTGAAGGGGCCTCTCTAACGTGCACGGGTGAGTTATTCCATCATTTGACCTGAGACACAGTCAGGAGGGTGTGTGGGGATGAAGAAGCTCAGAGTGGTGCGGCGGGGTTTGTTTTTAAATGTGAAAGCATTTAAAAACAAACATAAGAATTTTGAAATGAACTCTGAAAGAGACAGGCAGCTAGTGAGGCCAGCACAGGGTTACACGCTCTGTTTTACCAGAGTCAGAGACTGACCCCACATAGACACACAGACTGAGTTACAGTGGTCCAGATGGGAAGTAAGAAAAGCATCGATCTCACACGCACAGGAGTCTATGTGTATATATATCTACAGCAGCTGAAACTATTCAGCCATTCTGTCTGTGAAGGTTCTCAGTCATCCAGGTCATCGTAGTCAGATATAAACTATCTGGGACTATAAACTATAAAATAAAGCTGTGGGTCCCAAT